GTCTACGTGCATGTTCTGTACTCCATCAGTAGAGCCTGAACTGCATTAGCTTGTGTTGCTGTTTGCTCTTCTGTGTTTTTAGTGCTAAGTGTAGCTAGTTGCTGTTAATAAAGGTGGTTCCCCTGTTATTCCCTTCATGATGTCTCCAGAACAAGAATCCCACAGACACACAAAAGTGGAGGACCCAGTTTGTAGAAACTGGGGGCACGGGTGCCCTCTCTTCCCCTCTCCTCCTTTCCCTGCCTGCAAGTAGCTCTTACCCATTGAGATTGGAGTGGCAGAATAGACCTGGGCATCCAGGAGGGCTGCATATGGAGTTTCTTTCAGTACCAACCTTATATTTGCCTAGCTGCCCAGCTGGTACCCCATAGAACAGGGGGTCTCCTGGGCACTTTGCATCCCCTGGCTGCAGCTCATCAGCTGCTCAGTCAGAGGGAGGGGGGTGCAGGGCTTAGGGGCTCTGTGGGCCAGGCACACCCCATCTGGCCTCCCAGAGCAAAATACAGGGTGGTCCTGGCATGTGAGAGGAGGATGCATAAGAGAAAGAGAAAGGAGGACTCTTTGCTTTACTTCTGGGGAGATTCCCTACATGTCAATATGGATCCCTAGCCGGCCTGTCAGGGGAGGGGCAGCCTCACACCCCTGCCCTCACCTGTGCCATGGTAGAGGGGCATCTCTCCTCCCCCTGGCCTGCAAATCATATGATACCTTGCATCCTGGCTGCAGAGACCCACCACCCAGGCCAAGAGAGTGCACACGTGATCTCTGCCTCCAGCCTGGTGCATGCCATGGTGCAGGGCTCACAGGTCTGCACGTGCTTGGGGTGTACAGTGTGGGAGCTGAGGTAGGAGCAGCCAGACCTCCCCTGCAGGGTGTAAAAGCAGTGCCATGGGTGTAACCTTGGGCCTCCTCAAGCTGGTTGTAGCTGAAGAAGAGGTGGAGCCAGGCAGGGCTGGAAGGGGATAAGGAGTGTCACCTGGCCAAGTTAAAAACTGTCTCCATCTCTGGCTTGTGTGCAAAAGGTGCCAGACTGCAGCCAGAGGTAGGCTGGGCTGGAGGGGGATACTGTGTGATGGGGGAGCAGGGCAGGGGCCATGGCAGCCAGATGAGGGTGGCTGAGGATTGAAGGTGGGGGACAGGGAGCCCCAGGGCTATGGGGTGCCCATGGTGCCTGCCATTCAGCTCTTGTGACAGGCCCCAGTTGCTGGCTCTTTCCATGCTCACCCCCTCCACCCCTCAGCAGAACTTGCCTGTCTCATCCATGTCCTGGGCATGACGAGTGGGTCTGTGGACTGTGGTCTGATTTTGCTGCCTGGTTCTTCAAGGCTGGGCTGAGTCCCAAGAAAACCCTGGCGCTGAGCAGTGACTGCAGGGGATGTCTGACACATGTGCAAACCCCTTCCTTACATGTTGCCAGCTGTGGCGATGGAAAACCTGTCTGTGGCACTACGGGACAGTTTCCAGCTTTGCAGCTACTTAAAGGCACATGTGGAAGCCTGGGTGGGGAGGGGGGAGTGGCATTTCTCTTTGCCCTGTGCTCATACCCTGGCTGCATGCTCCGTGCCATAGGTGAGGGCTGTTCCTAGAATGTATAAGAGCAGGTCAGACCCCTGCTTGTGCGGGTTGGGGCAGACAGGGAAGATCCTGCCTTAAGTAGGGCATTGGACTGATGTGACCTCACCGTTGGCCTGTGAGTGAGGCCCCAGGGTGTACCCCCTGGCAGAGGCAGGTGAAGCATGCCCAGGCTGGTGGCAGAATCACAGAGATGGGGTGAGGCCTTGGGATGTATCCCCTCGGAGCAGGTGCCCCCTTGCAGTCTCTGTGGGGAGCTCCTGGGTGATGCACCCTGGGACACACTGGGTTGGAGACGGAGCAGGCCACAGCGATGAGTCCCTGGTTACCACCTTCCAGCTGAGATTGGCTTTGGGACAAAGTGTGTGCCCTTCCCATGTCAGTCAGTGCCATGTTCCCTTTGCTCCTGGCTGGAGCTGATCCAGGTCTGGCATCTGCCCATCCACACCCTGCTGCAGTGTCCATGGGCACTGAGAGCGCCAGCTGCAGCCGCCTCTATCCCACGTGGCAGCAGAGCTTGAATGTCACTGTCATGGCTTCCCCGGGGTCTCTCAGTGTTCCTGGTGCAGCAAGTGCCGACTGTTGTAGTAAGTTTAGTTAAGGGGTGGAAGAATGAAAATGAAATGATCAATGAAATTATTCCAGTCTCAAATCCTAATTTATTAAACATATAAGCAATACCAATATTTAGTCAAGCCTTTAAATACAACACACAACTTCTAAGCAAGCCCTAACAGTCATTATAGATATTCTTACGCAAGCCTTCCAATGGATGCAGTGATTTCAGCTGGCCAAGTGTCTGTAATGGCACTGTGGTTCGAGTAGTTGTTATTTCTTTTCTTGCCTATCGCTTTTCCTCAACTTTAAGTTTTTTCTAGATTTTAATACACTTTTTTTACAGCTGTCTTCTATATGAGCCATATAGAGTTATGTCATAAATATTCACCAATTACCTTTTACAGTGGATGTCTTCTTGCCAGGCTGCTGTCTGCATCCTATGGTCTTGGACAGTTAAACCACATCCTCTTTTAACTGTGTCTATTATTGCATAATGTCAGGCCAACACCATCTGCTTAGCATACATGCACTGTAGTCACTAACATTTACTATCATACTAATAATACTATCAACTTTAAACTATCAAAATGAAAACAATAGGGTGCAACATTAAGTATCCCCATGGTGGATGGAAACTATGGTGAACAGAGTCCCTCAAAGGAGAATGGTAAAGTACCCAGTGAACTTTGGGACCCATCAAACTCCTGTTAGGTGTTAAATGATCAGAGCAGAACACACGCAACAGAGCCAGAGATGACCTCCCTTGTTGGTGCAGACTGACAGCTGTCCAAACAGCAAGGGAACTTTGAGGGCTGATTAAAATCATATTAGGTGTTAAATGCTCAGAGCAGAACACACCCAACAGGGACAAAGCTCACCTTCCCTGTTATTGTAAAGACTGAGAGCTGGACAGCTATCTGGACAGGAAGGGAACTTTGGGAACACATTGACCTCCGATTAGGTATTAAATGCTCAAATCAGAAGCCTTCAACAACATGCTTCACTGTGTGTTATTTCTATAATAGCGCTGAGGGGGTCAGGGTACACCACGCACCACATTACCCCTGATAATGGAGAAGGGAGTACATAGAGCAGGCACTGATTGATCTCCAAAAGAGACTGGGATTACCCTGATCTTCAACCCCCCCAGCACACCCTAGGACATCCACCTCACCAAGTGGAAATAGGAGACAACAAAGAAAAAACAATCTTTGAATTGTTTATTTAAGGAAGTAAGAAAAAGAGGTCAGCAAAAGATTGATTCATGTCGGGCTTTTCAGCTACACCTGGTGTCCTAAAACATTCATTACACACAAATACCTGCAAATTGTAGTGATACCTGGTACACAAAGGGGCTCACTGCCCAAAAATGTTAGCGATACCCTGGTGACAAAGGGGCTCACTACATGTCATTCAGTAAATTACCAAGTACACTGACAGATTTATGGCTGCATCGTTGCAAGTCGCAACGTAGCAAGCTAAACTACATCAAGATGTGGTTTAGTTTGTCATTTAAACCACCCAAAACTTGTGTACATGTGTACAAAGTGTGATTCCATTAAGCCACAAAAAAGGGAATTTTCATCATGTGTACATGGCATCATCATCAGGTGTACAAGTGCCCCAGTATAACAGTGCCTCCCACCACTGGTGTTCTTCTGCTTGTTTGACTTTTTAAAATCATAGAAAATTAGCATTGGAAAGGACCTCAGGAGGTCATCCAGTCCAACCCTCTGCTCAAAGCAGGACCATCCCGTCTAGACCATCCCAGCCAAGGCTTTGTCTACCTGGGTCTTAAAAACCTCCAAGAATGGAGATTCCACCACCTCTCTGGGTAATCCATTCCAGGGCTTTACTACACGCTGAGTGAGAGAGTTTTTCCTAATATCTAACCTAAACTTCCCTTGCTGCAACTGGAGGCCATTGCTCCTTGTTCTGTCATCTGTAACCACTGAGAAAAGTCTAGCTCCATCCTCACTGGACCCCTACTTCAGGTAGTTGAAGGTTACTATTAAATCTCCTCTCATCTTCTCTTCTCCAGACTAAATAAGCTCTGTCTACCAGCTGCCACCTAGACATCAAGCCATTGATTACTATGCTTTAAGCCCAATGATCCTGCCAGTTTTCTATCCACCTTACAGTCCATTCATCCAACCCAGACTTGCTTAGCTTGCTTACAAGAACGTTGTGCAAGACCATATCAAATTCAAGCATCTACTGCTCTCCCCGCATTCACAGAGCTAGTGAATGCCTTCATCATAGAAGGCAATCAGGTTGGTCACGCATGGCTTGCCTTTGGTGAATCCATGCTGAAATACTTCTGTGATCCCCAGGATGGCAGCAGCAAGAGAAGTGGGGGATCAGAGGGGAATCCCCCAGAGTTGTGCCCAGGCAGCAGATGAAACATGCTGTGAGCACACCTACATGTGTGCCAGAATGTGTAGTTGTTACTGTGCAGCAAGTACTAAATGACTGCACAGTAACCAGCATTACTGAGCAGTCCCAATGCTGCACAGGTTTTTTTCCCATGCTACTGCACAGTAGCATCGACATCATGGTTTATGCCTGCTGATGCTACACTGTCATAGCAACAAGCTATGGTGACATAGCTCATCCCTATGGTGATGTAGTATCTTGTGTAGCTGTGCCCTGTGGGCTGCAAACTGGGTGAGCCCAGTTCTATACAGGAAGATGTTGAATCAGCCCTTCCTGTTGGGGAGAGGCTGCCAAAGCCACAAGTAATTGTTGATGAGATTCAGTAGTTTGTTGGGTGTAGGCTGCATAAATCTTGGAGGGGGTTCAGGAGGGGCAGGGGTGGGGCAGGGCTTGGAAGAGTATGAGGCAACCTTGCAATAGAGTCTGGGGAGAGCCATCTCTGGCTCAGGTGCAGAAGGAGCTGGTCTATAGCCACGGTAGGCTGGGCTGGAGCGGGCTACAAGGGGAATTATGGCAGCTGGGGATGGCAGTTGGGGGCTTGGGGTTGGGGGAAAGGGTGTAGGAGAGGAGGCCCCAGGGCTTGGCAGCATCCTGGGTGGATGGGCTGATCCCTGGGAGGCTGGAGGAGCAGAGATCTGCCAAACCCCAGTGAGAGAAGAGGGTGGCAGAGCTCATGGAAGCAGTCACTGAGCTGGGTGTGCCACTGCTTCTTGTCTCTGGGGAAACAAACGTCCACACTTGTTTGGACGTGGCCCATGGGTCCCGTCTGAGAGACCTTGAAGAAACTTGGAGGGCCACTGAGAGACTGTAGTTTACACAGAGAATGGCTGGTGGTGGCAGACCCAAGCCCCGGCATTCTGGTTGGTCTGGAAAAAGACCGCATACTACCCAATGGTTTGCATTGCTTACTGTTTATGCTGATTACTGCAGGGAAGGAGTTTGCCTTGCGGAAGCAGAGACAATGAAAAAGGACTGCAAGCAAACAAACTATTCAAGCTAAGCAAATCCCCAACCTGCTACATGTGGTGGAGAATGAGGGCATCTGTATTTTAAAGTTAACTCCAGCAGCAGTTTCAAAGAGAGGATTGGAAGTGACAGGTGGCACGTCTATATGTGCAATTAATTTGAAGTAATAAACTCTAGAGTTTATTGCTCTGGAGTTTATTGCTCCTGGACATGCTGTTTGAACGTGTATCTGGGACTGCAGCACTTTGAGCAGTCTGGAGTAACCCCAGCTGGCAGGAGGCCCAGGGTGTCATCCTACCAGCCTGGGCCACAAGGGTGCTCCAGCGAGGGGCTAGCTGGCAGGCCAACCAGCCCCATCAGCATCTACACATGCACTACTGCAGAGTAAAAACCTCCGTAGCAGGACAATACTTGTATTTACAAGTACTATCCTGCTGTAGACTTAGGCCATGTGTAGATGAAACGAGGGGCACGTGTGCACGACACTTTAAAGCAGGTTAAATGCTTTTGCACTGCATTAATGGTGTTGGTGTTTGCACACATCAGCAGCATTTTGCGTAGTAATTCCAGCCGCTGTAGCATATTTGGTGGCATAGTGCACCTTAAATGAGTTTGGGTGCAGCAAACTAAAACTCTTCTGAGGAGTTTGCTGCCTTACAGCTGTGGAATGAAACACCAGGCCCCGTGCAGCTCAGGGACTCTACAAGAAGCCTATGCAGGCAGCCTGAAAGCAACCCGGAAAGACAGGTTCTGCCCAAGGAGAAAAAAAAAAAAAGCAGTGAGCCTGATCTCTCCCCCCCACCCCCCGGAGTCTGCCTGCCTGCCTGCCTGCCTGAGCTGTGTGGAAGCCTGGTACTTTCCTCTGCAGCTGCGGTGCCCCCTGGGACCACCTAAGCCAGGTGCCTGCAGGTGGGTGCCACCTGGGAGGAGCTGCCGCTACTGTGAAGGGAAGCACCAGCCCCACTCCCTGCAACTCAGGGACTGCTCTGCCTGCCAGCAGCTTGCCTTCCACTCCCCGCTGCCGGAGAGACAGGTAAGTTCAGGTGTATGCACATCACGGGGGTTTAAAGGGCCCTAAATTGAAGCAGTGTTTTTAAAAACCCATCGCTTCAATTTAGGGTCCCTGTTTCATCTACACATACCCTTAATTAGATTACTCTGGCCTAACAGGGGTACACATGTAGATGTGCTACATTTACTGCAGAGCTAATTAGTCTACTCCAAATTAAATGTCTTGTATAAACACGCTGAGGGTGAAGTGAATTCTAGCAGCAGGGGAAGTAACTGGGCAGGGTCACTGGTGAGCAGAGCTGGCATAAGAACCTAGCCTTGGCTTTTCAAGGGATAGTGTGGGGGTGTCCCCATAGCCTCAAAGAAAGATGGAGCCAGCAGTACCATCCCTGACACAGCTCCAGGCTGAAATGAGCACCCTAAATAAAGTGGTCTGCGAGCAGGCTCAGATGAGCCATGACCTGTTGAAGCAGGTGCTAGATAGTACTGAAAATTGATCAAGCCATCAGACTTTCAAAAAGGCAAAGTTTCACAAAGGAGTTCCAAAAACCTGGGGAGACATGCAACAGAAATTGTTGGATCAACTATCTGCCTTAGCTTTGAAAGTGAAGGACAGGAAAGGCCAGTACAGAGGCTGATGCCCTCAAATGGCTAAGACACCTGGTGCTAACATCTCAGCTCTTCTCAGATGAGATCCTTGGGGAGGCAGCACATGTGCAATGGGAGCTCACTGCTGAACAAGTGGAGGCAGAAATGACATCATTGAGGCAATGCCTGCAGACAAGGGAGAACTAAGATGCCTAATTACTGCCAAGGTGGAGAGAGGTAAAGAGCTGAAACAACTGATGCTCACAGATAAAAGAAAAGTAAGAAATGAGAGGAGAAGCTGGCAGCATTGAGAAAGGAGGTAGCTGATGCCATATCTTGTTCCACAGAGAAGAGTTACAGGACAGGAACTGAGGTGCTGCAAGCTTGAACAAAAGAGAAAACCAGGAGAAATCCATAGATGCCTTAAAGCAGCAATTGAAAAATCAGGAGACGTGCCAGAGAGAACTCAGCCAAGAAGCCTGGAACTGGCAGGACAAGTATATTCAGACTGAGCAGCTTCTGGCATCAGTACAGGAGGAACTTGCTAGCACTCAGGCCCTAGTAAAAGAGCTAATGCCACTGGGCTACATGTACCAACATCACAGGGATGAACTGGTGGTCATGAAGAACAAGTGCCAGCAAGAACAGAAATGGAGGCAGAAGGATGTCAGTGTCCTACTGGACCAACTTACCAGGCTCCAGGAAGATAATACCAAGCTGGCAGAAGAAAACTGGGTGCTTATTGAAAACTCAAATCTTAAGCAACAAGAGTTCAAGGCAAGGCTCAACCAAGTAAGGAGACATGCCCATGACCTGAAGCACTTGAGGCTAGAATACGGAAAAGTAGTTGAAAGAGACAGCAGAGTGACTCAACAGGTGGAGAACTGAAACCTGAAAGAAAGTCTGGAGAAAGAGCCTTGATACAACCGCACCCTTGAGGGAGTGTTGTGGAAAACACAAGCGACTGGGGTGAAGTTTGCCATAGCATTCTTGGAGGTAGCCCAAGGGGACACAGGGGGTCAGAGGAGCCCTGCCTCTGGTGCAGGCACAGCAAGAAGGGCCTCTGAAGGGTAAGCACGTCCTACTGACCATGTCTGCCACAAGCCAGAAGTGGGGAGAGGCAAGAGTTGTGGGGGTTGGAGCAGAGGGGAGGAAACCCCCAGGGAAACATGAAAGGGGCCAGCCAAGTCCATCCTATGAAGCCTGAAATGAGTCTAAGCCCGCATCCAAGTACAGGGACTCAAGCCCAGAGATTGGATGACCGAACCCTGGATCCAAAAGAGAGAAAACCCCAGAGGCAAGAGGGATGATATCAAGTGAAGGGGTTGCGGACACAGGGTAGGGCCATGCTGTGGGATTGAAATGTGGACTCCTCCCATTGGCATGGGACTTCTTGGGGAGGAATGAAAGATTGGGGCAAAAACACTCACAGGAATCAAGGCCAGAAGACCTGAGGGTTGGCCAACCTGACTCTCCTGTGTTAGTAAGCAATTTATGCTTCCGGCTTGGCTGGAGGAAGCTGAAGCAAGTGTTCCAGATGGCTGGGATTGTGAGCTTCAAACACCCCAGTGAAGCCGTGCAGGCAATAGCCACATTGGATGGGCAGGTACTGTGTGGCTGACCCAAGTGGGTAAAACGGGACAGAGATAGATGGTCCCTTATAGTGACAATCAAGTGGAGGTTCATGCGGGGCCACAAGTGCTTCAGGGCATAAGGAACCATGAGGCAGGATCTGGGCCAGGGGTGACTGGTGCCTCCTGAGTCTGGGGGGGCACAATTTTTGGGCAGGCCTGGGGGCAAGCCAAAAGCACCATATCCACACCTATACTTCTGTGCCGTGGCTTAGTGCCCCGCCCCCCTCCCCCTAGCCCTCCCAACATGCTGCTGGCCCACGAAAAAAATCTGCCCCATCCTGAGAGGTGCCGAGTCAGGGGCCAATCTCAGGGGGGATGCAGGCCAACCACCCCCCCCGCCACTGTACCTCCCCCACCAGTTGCCTGTGATCCAGGCCAAGAGAAAGTCCTGGCGATGGCTGGGAACCACCTGGCCAAAAGAGGCGCAACTTGGAACCATATAGGGCCAGGGTCAGAGCCAGACAGGCCCTGCTGGCAGCAGAGTGGATTTCCAGAGCAGAAAGTATGCAGGTGGGCAACGGACTGATACTACCTGAGCCATCCTGGGAGCTGCGTGTGTGAAGCTGATCAAACTGGGACCAGAGAACAGGCACTGGAGCAGTTCCCTGGAGCTGCCCAAAGAGAATTAAGGGGAGCTGACAGGCTGGTTGAGGCAATGAACCAGAGCTGGGCTGAGTTTCTTAATCTGTGGGTTTATGTTCTGTTTATGCTGCTCTTTGTTAGAAAGTAAACTGTAACACTGGATGACGGGGTATAGGTATTGGGGGAGGTGCCAGAGAGGCACACAGCTTCCATTTGGAAGCTGGTCACCATGTGCTTGTGCAAAGATTCAAGGAGACGCATATTAACTTCTGAAGAGCTGCATGTGGCTCTGGAGCTGCAGGTTGGCCACCCCTGCTCTAGAGTGATATATCCTCTCCCTTTTTGTTAGTTTTAAATTTGTCACTTAAAAATTTCAGCAGATGCTCCCTAGTTCTAGTATTCTGAGACTGGGGAACAACAATTCCCTGTTGCCCTGGTCCGCACACTTCATGATTTTATAGGCCTTTATCATATCCCCCCCCCCGAGTCTTCTCCCTTACAAACTGAAGAGTTGAAGCCTTTCTAGTCTCTCTTGATCTGGCAACTGCTCCAGGCCTCTGATCATTTTACTTGCCCTTCTCTGAACCTTTTCTAATTCCACTACATCCTTTTTGGGATGCACAGGCCAAAACAGCACATGGTATTCAAAGGTGGGTGCACAATGGATTTGTATCGTAGTATGATGCTGTTCTCTATTTTGTTTTTAGTCCCTTTCTTACTGATGCCCTTAATAGCTTTCTGTGTGGTATGGTGCTGGGCTCTAGGGGACCCGGGGAGGGAGCTGAGCGCAGTCTGGGGCAATGTAGACCTGTTCTAGCATCCATCTAGGATGTAGGGGATGCCCAGTAATGCCTATTCTTTATCCACAGCCTGGGCTGTGCTGTCCCTCTCCCAGTTCCTGCTGGCTCCTGACAACTGGTGCAGATGTGCCACCTCCTGTACCACGTGGGCATTTTCCTCGTCTGCCTCCCAGTGGGGGCCATCTACCTGCTGTGGGTGCTGTGGCTGCTGGTGACCAAGGGACCATTGAAGACCTTCCACTGGAGGGTGCGGAAGACCCTCCCATCATGCCTCATGGGCACTGCCTATGGGAAGCACTGCTACCTGCGGCTTGAGGTGCATGTGGAGAGCATGGTGATGAATTGGGAGTGCAGCTGAGGCCTCTGTGCTCTCTGGCTATGCAGGCCACTATGGTGCTGTGGCTGGGTCTTGTGAGCCAGACTGGGGTAGGGGCCTCAAGGCAGAAGCCTCCAGCTTGAGACCCTTGCTGCACAGTCTGGACTGGAGGGAGGGGCTCAGTTTGGCCACAGTTCCTTCCCTGGGGTGAAGCCAGCCATGGGCATTGCTGCCTCTCCCAGCAAAGACAGTGTGGCTCACGGGAGGGCACCAGGGCCAGGTGGGGTGGGCACAAGGTGCATGGCATGACTACTCCTCTCTCTATCCTCCCTGCCTTGCAGAGCTCAAGGCTGCGCTTGCATTATGTCACAGCTGGTCCAGAGGAGGCCCCACTCATGCTGTTACTGCATGGGTTCCCGCAAAACTGGTAGGTCTGGCTGGCTGCTCCAGGCTGGGGTGGACAGGAGAGGGACATTGGGATGTGGTAGGGCACGAGGCTTTCCTCTTCTCTGTGAACACCCTTTCCTTCCAGGGACCCACAGAACGATGCTCCTTACATGCCAGGCACTGCAGGTGCTTGGAACAGAAAGGCAGCACCTGCCTCACAATGGAAGCGAGTGGTGGGGGCTGGAGGGGCCCAGTAGGGCTCATGTGAGGCAGGTGCAAGTGCTCTGGAGGGTGGAGAATGGCAGCCCCAGGGCAATGGGTGCAATGGAGACTTAGCCTATGTACAGTCTGAAGAGCCTGGGGAACCCAGTGAATGTGAGGGAGCGAGAGAGGGGGTAAGTCTCGTGTCATGGGCACACAGACAGCCACGCAGAGAAGGGAAGGGGGTCAGTGATGGGCAGGGAGGTTCTAGAACAAGGGGGAGACCCCACCTGTACTGGGCAGAGTATCTGGGGCTGACCCTGGCTCTAGGTCTGGCTGCCTGGGAGTTGGGCACAGAGAACCTTGTCTGGAAACAGCAGTCCAGCCCAGCCCGGCTGAGCTTCATGCAAGGCCTGGCCCAGCTCATACAGCTCTGGATCCTTTATACAGATGCTCCAAACTGGTTGTTTGAGCTGAGCTGTGAGCTCCTGCTGGGTGAGGCGATCAAACGATCAGTTGAAGGGGCATCTTGAGTCTCCCCACAGAAATCAGGTCCAGGGACTCCTGTAAGGGTTTAAAATATGGCCCACGGGTAGCATTGACCACATCAGGACACCCTTTACACCCAGACCATCCTCCCTCTCCACACTCTGACTCACATGTGTGTGTGCTGGCATGTGGCAGGTACTGCTGGCGGCACCAGCTGCAGGAGTTTCGGAAGCGGTTCCGGGTGGTGGCGCTGGACATGCGGGGATACAACGCCTCGGACGCCCCCAGCGGGGAGGAGAGCTACGAGATCCCGCTCTTGGTGGAGGATGTGCGGGAGGTCATCGAGATGCTGGGTACCAAGGACAAGCTGGGTGAGAACATGTTGCAGGGAGGGCACAAGACCTAGAGCAGCCCTGGCACTATGAAACATAGGATACCTGCCCAGGCCCCAACACTAGAACCTCTCCTTCAGTGAGGAATGGTGCCCATGGGAAGCAGCCAGCAACTGGCCCAGGCAGGATGTGTAACTGGTGACTGACGGGACTGGGGTGGAGTTAGGCCCTGGCTACCATGACTTCCTACCCATGGTTGCACTAGTCAGAGGGAGCAATACATTGTGGGATTGTAGCAAGAACATAAGAGCTGTATTTCCAGGATCAGACCCTAGGTCTGTCTGGGCCATGTTCTGTGTCACAAAGCAGCAGAGAACGGATGCTGAAAGGGAAAGTGAACTGGGTCTGACCACTGTTTTTTTCCACTGTTCCTATCTCACTTGCAGCCTCCAGCATTTAAGGTCTGGGAAGTTCTTATTCAGAGGCTGTACCCCTCACTCCTATGCTCAATGGCTCCTGATGCACCTTTCCTCTAACCATGGGTCCAATCCCTTTGTGAATCTGGCTGAACTCTCAGATTCCACCACATCTGGTGGCAACGAGTTCCACCCTTTAATTTCACACTGCGGGAAGAAGAACTTCCTTGTGTTAGTTTTAAACTTACTGCCTACTCATTTCGTCTTGTGACCTTTGGTTCTTGTCTGGTGAGAGTCAGTAAGAAATCCATAGTGACTTTCTCTTCGCCCTATAGTGTTTTGTAAACCCTTCTCATATTCCCCCTCTAGCATCTCTTTTCTAAACTGAATAGGCCTTGGGAGATTATAACTGTGCATTGTGGGATTGTAGTTGGAGGGCACCATCCTGGGTTATGTTTCCCTGAGTGCATAGAGGGACAAAGCCAGGGCTTGCTCTCTGCTGAGTGGCTCCAGCTAGCTTAGGGCATGTCACCCAGTCTGTCACCTGTCTAGTCTTTTGTAACACACATGTTAAGACCTAGTGGAGTGGGCCCTGTGTCCCACCACCCAACAGGGGCCATTTTGGTTCAACACTAGACTTGAGACCTAAGATCCGAGGGCTCAGCCTCCTGTATCACACCCAAACTTGTCACAGGTAAAGCAGGTGGACCACAGCAGCCAATGTCCTATTGCTTCAAGTATTGCTAAGATATGCTTGAGGGACCCAAGGAAGAGGGCCATGTCCCCATTACATGTCCATAGAGGAAGACAAAACCTGCACAGTCCTGATCCTGATCTGACCATGCAGTAAAATTCCTTTCTGACCCCAAATATGGTACTCAGTCTGGTGCTGGCCTGGTCCTGACACAGGGCAGGGGGCTGGACCTGATGATCTACAAGGTCCCTTCCGACCCTACTTCTATGAATCTATGAATCTATGACATATGGTCAGTCCAGCCCAGGGTGATCATTCACACATCCCCAGAATACAGGACATCCCCTTGGCCAATCAGCAGCAAGGGGTGGAGACACCACAAAAAGGCCACCTTTCTCCCTCCCTGGGTGGGACCCCTGTTCTTCCTGGCCGTGCACTGCCCTAGCTCTAGTCACAGCCAATAGAATTGAGAGAACACTAAGATGTGGGGAGAAGTGGGCCCGCTAGAAGGGAGGGACAGGCTACAACTAGATCTCGACAGGTTACAGGGATGGGCAGATGAGAATAGGATGGGTTTCAATACGGACAAGTGCAAGGTGTTGCACCTGGGGAGGAAGAACCAGCAGCATACCTACAGGCTGGGGAACTCCCTTCTCATCAGCAAAGAGGCAGAGAAGGATCTTGGAGTCACTATTGATTCCAAGATGAACATGGGCCAGCAGTGTGGGGATGCAGTCAGGAAGGCTAACCGTACCTTGTCGTGCATCCACAGATGCATCACGAGCAGATCCAAGAAGGTGATCCTCCCCCTCTGTGTGACATTGGTCAGGCCGCAGGTGGAGTACTGTGTCCAGTTCTGGGAGCTGCACTTCAGGAGGGGTGTGGACAGCATGGAGAGGGTCTAGAGGAGGGCCACTCACATGATTAGGAGGTAGCAGGACAGGCCCTACAAGGAGAGGCTACAGGACATGAACCTGTTCAGCCTCCACAAAAGAAGGCTGAGAGGGGATCTGGTGGCCGCCTATAAACTTGCCAAGGGGGACCAGCAGGCAATGGAAGAGTCTGTGTTCCCAAGCACTACCGGGGGTAATAAGGAACAATGGCCATAAGTTGACTGAGGTAGATTTAGGCTACATATCACAAGGCACTACTTCACTGTCAGGGCGGCTAGGAGCTAGAACCAACTTCCAAGGGAAGTGGTGCTTGCCCCTACCCTGGGGGTCTTCAAAAAGAAGCTAGACAGCCACCTAGCTGGGGTCATTTGACCCCAGCATCCTTTCCTGCCATGGCAGGGGGGCAGACTAGATGATCTGCTCAGGTCACTTCTGACCCTACCAACTATGAAACTATGAAGAACAGGTGACTGATATGCATTTCCACCAACGAACTGAAAAAAATGGACTTTCTGCAGTCAGGTCCCCACTGAGAAGGGTTTAAAAACAGGATGGTCCGGTATAAAAAACAGGACCAATGGCCACCCTAATCCAGCCCCTTTGTGCTTCTATCCCTGCTCTACCCTAACATCCTCCCTGTCCATCCATCTCTACAGGCTCTGTCAAAGCCATTGTGGTGGGACATGACTGTGGGGGAGTCCTCGCCTGGGTGTTCACTGCCCAACACCCCAACCTGGTGGAGAAGCTGATCCTCATGAACACAACACACCCCTCTGCGCTGATCGGTGATGCCCTGAGCCCCAGACTCCTCTCCACTCCACCCCCTGTGCCCAGGCCCAGCAACACCAGGGCAGAGGCAGAGGCAGCATCAGCCCCTCCAAGCAGCAGGAGTCCCAGTGGCTGGTGGGGCCTGGTGGCATCTCAGCACAAGGGCTCCCCCCACACCTGAGAAACAGCCCCCAAGGGCTGGAGCTTACCCCCATCTTCCTACCCCAGCCTCTGGGCTGCAGCTCCTGAAGCAGGGAGACCTATATGTGAATCCAGAGGATCCTCCCTGTGCTAGGAGCCCTGGGTGCTACTGGGGTGGGTGAGGGGAAGGGGACTGCTCTGAGTGGTGGAGAAGGCAGCCCCAGGGCAATGGGTGCAGCAGAGGCTCAGCCCCACTTCACCCACTGAAGAGACTGGAGCTGCCAGGAACCCAATGAATGTGAGGGGGTGGGAGAGGGTCAAATCTTGTGCCATGGGCCGTTTCCAGGCATGCAGGCTGCCAAGCAGAGCAGGGAAGGGGTCAGCAATGGGCAGGGTGGTTCAAGGACATGAGGCACCCCCACCTGTACTGGGCAGAGTATCTGGGGCTGACCCTGGCTCTAGACCTGGCTGCCCAGGTGCTGGGCACAGAGAACCTTGCTTGGAAACAGCAACCTGGCCGAGCCTGGTCCAGCCCCACATGAGACCTAGCCCAGCCTGCACCGCTTCTTCCCAGAAACTGGAGTGCCCCAGGGGCTGGTCCTGGGGCCAGAGCTGGAAGATGGGAAGGAGTGTACCCTCGGCAAGTTTACAGGTGACACCGAGCTGCAGGGAGTAGTAGACATGCTGGATGGTAGGGCTAGGATTCAGAGACCTAGACAAATTGGAGGATAGGACCAAAAGAAATCTCATGAAGTTCAATAAGGACAAGTTCAAAGTCCTCCACTTGAGATGGAAGGATCCCATGCACTGGTACAGGCTGAGGACCAACTGGCTAAGCAGCAGCTCTGCAGGAAGCACCTGGGGGTTACCGTACAGAATAAGCTGAATATGAGCCAGCAGTGTGTCCTTGTTGTGAAGAAGACTAATAACACCCTGGGCTGCATTAGTAGGAGTGTTGCCAGCAGATCAAGGGAAGTGATTCTTCCCCTCTATTCAGCACTAGTGAGGCCACATCTGGAGTGCTGCATCCAGTTTTGGGACCCCATGACAGAAAGGGTGTGGACAAGTTGGAGAGAGTCCAGCAGAGGGCAATGAAAATGGAGAGAGGGCTGGGGGACACGACTTGTGAGGAGAGGCTGAGGGAACTGGCCTTATTTAGTCTAGAGAAAAGGCTGAGAGGGCATTTAATAGCAGCCTTCAAGTACCTGAAGGGTGGTTACGGAGAGGTTGGAACTGGACCAGGGGTGGCCAAAATATGGCCCGTGAGTTGGATCCCGCCCGCCAAATGATTTTACCTGGCCCATGGCTGGCTCCTCTGAAGGAGAGCTGTATCTGGCCAGCGGCTGCTCTGGCTTTCAGTGCCTCTCACCCTTCTCCCTTCCCCATAAAAGCTGGCGGAAGCACCAGCAGCCACTCCCCACTCGGGCTTCTGCCTGGTGAGGGTGTCTGTGCCCTGCTCCGACCCTGCCCCCAGCAAGTCGAAGCTCAGGTAAGGTCCTCCTCGCTGGGGCGGGGAGGGGGTGCGGAGGGAAGAGGGCCAGGAGCTGTGGGTTATCCAGTCTCTGCTGGGCTGGGGCTTGGCAGGGGAATAGGCACTGGTGCTGCACTGTGCTCCCATGTGCCACTTCAGGCTGCACCAGGCCTAGCACAGCTCCTGCCTGGCGCTGAGTCCCCGGTACATGGCTGGGTCAGGCTGGAGCTGCACCAGCCACACCCACATGGCCCAAAGCAGCACGCAGGAGCACAGCGTGGTACCAACCAGGCCACATGCTGGGGATTCAGGGCAAGGGAGAGGATGCAGGGAGAAGCGGGGTCTGTATGACTTGCAGCTCAAAGCCCCCTTGTCCCTTCACCCTCTCCCGTCCCCTCCCCTGTGGCCCCAGCATGTGGCTGGGCCAGGCCGGTGCTGCATTGTATTCCCACGTGCTTCCTCGGGCCACATGGATGCAGCTGGCACAGCTCTTGCTCGACCCAGCCATGGGCCGGAGACCCAAGGCAGAGGAGAGAGAAAAGCAAAAAGGAGGAACAGCTCACCCAAATCTTTGTCCTCTCTGCCCAGGGGTGGGCAATTATTTGGGCTGGAAAGCCACTTAGGGAGCTTGGGTGAGCTGTTGTGAGGGGATGGGGGAACAGGTGCTGACCCAGCCCATGCCAGCTCATCCAAACTCCCTAAGTGGCCCTTGGACCCAAATAATTGCCCACCCCTGAGCTACAGTGTTCTCAGTGGTGGCACATGACAGCACATGGAGCAATGGTCTGTAGTTACAGCAAGGGAAGTTTAGGTTAGACATGAGGAACAACTTTCTCACCAAGAGGGTAATGAAGCACTGGAACAGCTTACCCAGAGGTTGTGGAGTCTCCATCCTTGGAGGTTTTTAAGATCCAGCTAGACAAAGCCTAGGCTGGGATGATATATTTGGGGATGATCCTGCTTTCATCAGGGGGTTAGATTAAATGACCTCCTGAGCTCCCTTCAAGCCCTAATTTTCTCTGCTCCTATGACTCTGTGGCCTCACGGCCTCTATCTGTCCCTCCCCAACAGAGTACTCCATCTGCCACCCCATGCAGCTGCTGCGCTCCTCCTACATGTTCCTGTTCCAGCTGCAGGGCTACGCTGAGCTCATCTTGTCCCTGGGTGACTTTGCGGTGAGAGCAGGGCAGGGGTTTCAGAGAGAGTCTGACCTTCCCCCCACTGGAAACCCCCCAGGAGATCTGCAGTGGGTGGGGTGCTGTGCTGGCTGAGCCCTGGGATCCCGCTGAGCAGATGGGTCCCTAGATCAGAGCCCAGCCCCTGCTTTCACAGCCTCATGTCACCATCTCCAGCACGAGTTGCTCCTTCTCCAGGTCCAGGTCCAGCTCCAGCCCCAGCAGGTTCCCCCTTCCCACAAGGAGTCTGTTCCCTCCCTGCCCTACTGGGAGTCCTGTCCCTGGTGCCCCCCTTGCTGGCTGCAGAGGTTTCTCACATGCCCTCACCACCTGGTGCTGGCAGAGCAGTCAACCTGGGGAGGAGTGGCTCTGCCCTCCCTGGCAGGGGCCTGGCCCAGACCAAGTGGTCCCATGCTGGGGCCTGCTTGGGGAGACACAGCAGATGCCTGGGAGTGGGTGATGGAGCTGTTCCCCTCCTGAGGGTAGATCAGTTGTGCCTGTTGGGTCTGTGTGGCCCTGGAAGCCCCTGGCTGAGTCAAGGTGAACAGTGTGTGAAGCCACAGATGCCCAGTTTGTGTCAGTAGCCAGATGGGGGGTTGGTGGTTGGGGAAGGCTGCGGCACTGGGTATCTGTGCTGCCTGGGGCTCCCTGCCCCAGCTGGAGCTCAGTGGCTGGCAGGGACTGGGGTGCGGACCTGTAGCTGGCCCCAGCCCCCATCACCTCAGTCGTGTCTGTCCCGCTGCAGCTGCTGAAGTGGTTCATGAGCAGCAGGATTGCAGGAATCCAGAACCTGCAGCAGTGCCACACGGAGCAAGAGCTGGAGGCTTACATCTGCGGCCTTTCCCAGCCAAGCAGGGTGACCGCAGCACTTAACTATACAGCCCTTTCCTGGCCCAGCCCAGGGCTGAGGGGCTGGAGGGGCTTCAGTGACAAGACCTCCTGAGGGAGAGGAGGATCTGTGCCACTGGGAGCCCCAGGGCTGCTGCCTGTTTGGCCCCCAGCTCCCACTCAGGTAGATGGGGCCAACTGTGCCAGGTACTGCCAGTCCCCTGGGTGCAGCTCCATGCCCTGGACCCAATCCACCACTCTATCCCCAGTCATGCGCTCACCACTTCTGGGATAACTAGCCAAATGCCCGTCATGAATGACGGATTTCAAAGGAGTGTTTACATGGCTGGCCTCAAAGGCTGGCCCTGCCTCTGCCCATTTTGTTGCCCCTCACTGCCAAGCCACAGCCCCCCAAGACCTGCTGCTGCCCCGCACTCCCAGCCCACTG